AGTGTTGCATGAATATTTCCCTGCTTGAGAACAGCACCATTAGTCTGTGAAGCTTAGAAATACAAGGCAGAAATAAAACCCTAACAGGAAATTGAATTTGCACCTTATTTAATACATGGTGACAAAGCAGATCATTAGACCTTCCTTAATGAACAGCATTCAGTTCTGCAAACTGAGAGCCTGTGCTCGCAGAGTCTGCTTGTGTGGTTTTGTTTCTTCAGTGCTGAAACAATTTTTACTTAATATCGACATGGAGTTATTTTACTAAGGGCCTGTTTTTTCAGCTCTCGCTGACAGTACCTCTATGGAAATCCTACATAATGCTCAGTAGGATCAAATCCTACTTCTGTTCACTTAGAAAAAAATCTGATCTCTTCATTTTCATCATATCCGTTAGAGCTTGGCAGTGACTCAGCTTCAGGATGATCCCAGTCCCTTGGAGATCACAGGCAGTTGGATTGCTCTTTTGAGCAGCTATGCTTTGTCACAATAGCCCAGGCTGGCATACACAGACCCTGTAGCTTTGGGAGCTGACAGCAGTACTGATGGTATCTCCAATCTTTTTGTGCTCCAAGGATGCAAAATAATAGCTCCAGAGAGTAGTCAAGAGAGAAAAACTTGTAGGTCTGCATTTTCCATACCATGTGAGGCAGGACTCTATTCCAGCTTATTCCATTCACAAGAGAGGCAGGACCATCTGTTTGGAATATTAAATCCTTTGATATAAAGACTCTTGAGAAAAAGGCTGAGTTCCTTCAGGAGCTGTTAAAGATAAGGGTTTTCTTTTTTTTTATTTAACAAAAAATGCTGGGTTTTTTGTTTGGGTGGTTTGGTTTGGTGGTTTCTGTGCTTGTGGTACCTCAGGGAATGCTCCCCAGCGTCTCCTGTTTCTGGTAGGTCCTGGTCATGTAAGTGGGACTTCTTCCATTGTATCGAGCAGGAAGGGTTTTGGGGGACTTCCTCTTCTGTAGAACCATTTCCACGTGATGGATCTTTACAGAATACCTCTCACTTTTTGCCTCCACAGCTATTGGCTCCAACGATTAATTCTTTGAACACTGTTTTTCCCATCAGCACAGGGAAAAACAAAAGAACATAATTTGATGTTTCCTGTTAACACTTTCATTTATAATTTTAATTAACATTATCATTTTGGTATGGGTGGGTTTTTTTGGTGACATATTTGTGTCACAGCAATTGCCTGGATCCCACTGTTGGGGTTTATTGGATGTGTGCAGTGATCACAGCTGGTTTGTCTTCATCGCCTCTGCTGTTTGTGGCATGAATGACGCTGGGCAGATGGTCTTTCTTCTTAATAAAAACAATCACAATTGGTCCATCTTTTCTGTGGTATTTCTACAGTCGTCATAAACATGTGTGCTAAGGCAATAGGTTTAAGCTTGCGGGGATTTGTTGTCAGAACCATGACTTCTGCACAGATGCAAAAGGGGGGGTGGGGGTGGGGGAAAGCTGTTTAAATCCCTTCCTTATTCATACAGCACATTGTATGCCAAGTGTGGATACAGTCATGTTCATCCCTTCTGATTTGATGTCTGACTCAACGTGAAAGCAGCCTGCTGGAACAGCGTTTTTCTAACCATGGATGTTAACAGTCTGGGTGACCCTTGTAACTTAAAGCTGTGATTAGTGGTGGGAACACAAGTGCTAAATTGTCTGCAAAAACACCTTGTAATCTGGGGTTGCCAGGACTTGCCTTTAATTCTTGCAGGTTGGTGTGTGCTTCCTGCTGTGAGTATGAGAGATGATGAATCTGCTGGTGGTCACATCCTAGGGAGTTGCTTGTGCCTGAATCCATGACTTGCCAGTATGAGAGAATTTAATTCATTCTCAGTTATTGACAAAAGGAATAAGAGATTGGGTGGAAAGGAGACTTCATAAAGAAAAGGGCAGTAGAGGGAGCTTCTTTTTAATAATAGTAATTACTGTCTTTATAAGACTTGCCAAATTACTTTAGCCCTGATTTTTGTCACTGGGCTTGAATCCCTGTGGCCATACAAAAGGCGTGGAGCATAATTGTGAGTGCATCAGCCCTTCCACTCAACATCTGTAGTGGTATTTTGCAAGCAGTGATCTGCCACGGACCTCTCTCTGATGTGTTGAAGCTGGATTTTCAGAAGAAGCTAGATCAGAGGTGACATTGGAAGTGACTTTTGATCATCCTACCTCATTAAACTGGGCAGTCTAATAGGGAACCATAATGACTAAACGAGTTTTTTGGAAGGTAACTCAGTGGTGGGAATGGGGACCATAGTGAAGAGCCAGAGTTCATGGATGCAGCTTCGGAGGCAGATCCAGCAGCGTGCTGAGTGCCCTCAGCGTGAAGCTGAAGTGTCTAGAGACTTGGACGTTAAAGGCACAAGCTAAGCTGCAAACTGCAGGAGGCGTGGGAGAAAGTGTTGCGCAGATGCGCGAGTGCTCCTCAGCTCTTTATGGAATGTAGCAGCTTCTGAGGCAGCCACTGTTGACTACTCCATGGCGATACACTCTTCCACAGGATCTGTCTGAATACTGATGTAACCTTGACAACTCTGAAGCATTGGAGTTATCAGTCCATTATTTAATTGTAAAGAACCAGCAAAGTAACATAGAAAAGCCATCCCACTGTACGTAGACCTAGGTCTTGCCTCCACCTCCGGTGGAAAATGGTCCCCAGCTCAGGAGGAGTCTGAGGTGAAGTGGGGATCTGGTGTTTTCTGCCTAAGGGTTACACAGTATTGTACCATTAGTTTGAAAATAATACTTTAAACAAAATGGAGGTAAGTAGAAAAAAACAGAAGCATGAAAGAGGGTTTTTTCTGGAGGTGTACCTGAAAGCCAGCGTAGAGCATTTTGCAGCATTATAACAGAGCCTTAACAGTAGTTCTCTGTGATTCTTCTAAGTCACTGATAATTGAGTTTTGGCTGCTTGTGGATTTAATGCCACCATGAAATGGAATTTGTTGGTACATGAAATATTAACACTGTTCTGTGCAGACACATGAAACCGGAAGAATACTAGCACAGATACTGCTTCAGTTCCCCGTTGCATTTTAACGCATTCTCTTTATTGTTAGTCTATTAATTATTGTTAAAATAACACTCATTAGACTTCTGAGACGTGGCAACAGGCAAACACAGAGAACTTGCAATCCCTGCCCCAAACATCTTGCAATTTTAATTTTCAAGGCAGGTTGCTAATAGCATATTGGCCCATTATAATGGGGGAGAATGACTGTTATGCACAACATCGTGCTTGGAATTTGTGGTGGGGAGATGAATTGAACACAGTTCCCCTGATAATCTTTCTATATTTCATATTTTAACTTTTCAAGGCCTCTCTAAATGCAAGGACCTAGAATGCTGCTTATTTATTTTCCCTTAATAATCAGAATTTCTGTTATTCGATATTTCTGATATTTGATCTGCATGTACTTGAATATTATGAAGAGGGATGTGATGGAATTGCTTGCAGAATAAGAGTCAAGCTACCATCCTAGACCACTGTGGAGAGTAGTTTCTCTTACTGAATTACACAGATACAGCAGTATACAGAGGAGCAGCAGGAGTGTCTGAAACCAAAGTGCCTGCGAGTGGTCATATATATGTATATATATTGTGTGTGTATATATATATATATATATTTGTATATCTGTTTAAAAACCTCATCTGGTAGCTCCCATTTAAGCTTTCTCACTGAGGTGAATAAAGAGGACTTTTTAAAAGCTTGCATGAAGCAAGTAGTATTTTTGGTGGTACTGTTGGGATGCTAAGATAGGTTTGAGTCCTCTGTTCAGCCCAAGGTAAAGCAGAAGTGTGACATTCAGTCTCCTGTATCCCATGACTGTACTGGGATGGATTGCTTTCTGTCTCTTGTGTTGACCAGAAATGCCAATGTAGCATTATGAATATTTTCTTAAAGCAAAACAGACACCTGTTGATGATGTGTTTTGTTTTGATAAATAACCATTTAAAAGTGTAAAACTGCCAAGTCACCAAACTCCTTCAGTGGTCCTTCACCTTTTACTGATTCAATTATTTCCCAATAAAGTTGTGTCTGCCCACAAGTCTATATGCAAATATTAGATCTGTTTATCTTAATCCATGAAGTACAGGGGGTATAGTATGTGAAAGACTAACAGAAGGCCAATGCAGATTATGCACTCAAAGGTAATAGTAGTTCTTGGGACATTAATTTGTTCAGAATACTTGTGGGGAACGCACTTTATTCCTATTTGCTTTATTCAGTATCTGTTGTACTGTTGTGTATTTTGGTTGGATATATCATGAAGTGTATATAGTGGAGATGTGGCTAGATTTTTAATGCTTGATTGTCTCTACACTGAAGCTTTCTCCCAGTATTTATGTCTAAATTAATACTGTAAAATAAACCTGAACATTTCAAGGATTAATACTTTTCATTTTGCTTTAAAAAGTATAATGCAATGATGGTGGAGCAGCTCAGTGTTATCTGGGGACTGGACAAGCTAATATAAACCATAAAACACTTCTAAAATACTCATTGTTTCAAAAAGATGCAGCACCCTGAAAGCTTCTTAAAGTAAAGCACATACTTGCAGGAAAAATGTATGCTACTGTGTATAATAGGAAAATCTGTCCTATATAGATAGGGAATTGTATCTTTTCTTCCGCTTGCCTCCAGTCCCAGAAGTGAAAGCAAGATTGCGTTTTTACAGACAACTCTGATAACATGATTAACTGGATGATTGGAGGTAACTGAGGTCTTGGTGAGGACCAAAAGCATTAATGTTATGATAATGTAGATTCCTCCACGGAAACTCCCTAGTGCAAGCTCTCTCGTAGTCAGAGAATACCAACCGTCTCCTGGGACGTCAAGGCATCTAGTGACAGAAGGAGAAAGCAAAAATCTGATAGAAGGGAGCAAGACTACCAGGGTCATCTCATTTGTCGGCAGCATAGACTCTGGCTGATGTCCTTAGTAGGTGCATTTCCAATCTATCCGTGTGGTTTTTTTCTTCCAGTGTGTGGATGTGACTTGGCACAAGGAGGCTTTTTCATTAAGAACGGGGAGTATCTTTGCACCTTGGATTACCAGCGCATGTACGGTACCCGCTGCAACGGCTGTGGGGAGTTCGTGGAAGGCGAAGTAGTGACAGCTCTGGGAAAAACTTACCATCCAAGCTGCTTCGCCTGTACTGTTTGCAAGTAAGTCATCCCTTTCAACTAACATGGCATTGAAACTCCATGAGACACAAGTGTCAAGACATGAAGATCTATTTCCCTTTGGGAAGCATTTAATTGTACAAGATCTGCTGCAAGTCTGACTTTGAGGGTCTTCCAGATGAGTGATATTTTGGGGAGATGGCTTCTCTGTTACATGTAGTTCCCTGTCCAAAAAGTGACTGTCATATATGAAAGACGTAAATACCAGGCTTACACGTTGAGATAATGGACATGGGTTGAGTTGAGTTCAGGTGATGAGCCCAGCTTGATGGGAGAAATGAGGTAAAGCAGAATTCTGGATGATATAATAGAGAAGTCATTAGAGCCGTAAGAACAGTTAAACAATTGAAAACATACTGGGGACTGATTTTTACTTCATTTAAGGATAAATGGCTTTGGGACAACTGTGATCCTTCCCTTCTTCCCAGATACTATTTCTTGTCCTCAGTAAGAGAACCGACAGTTCTACAGGGAATAAAAAGAAGTTAACTAAGGCTGTGTGGGTGGGACAAAAGGTCACATTTTTAACTTGTATTTTTGATTAAACTCTCACTAAAATATTAGGAATTTACGAGACTACTGGGCAAATCCTCCACATACTGTCGTAGCCCCCTCATTTGAGCAGTTCTGTACTTGAAAATCTCAGCTGAGCTGTACAGCCTAAACTCATCCCAAAGTCCCTGAGCCTATTGTTCTCTGTTCGCTGGCTCCAGGCACGGAGACTGCTAGAATTTAGGCCGCTTTAGCATGTACCTTATTGCTGTGGTGATTGGTATATTTGGGATATGTGAGGGGACATAAAGCTTCTGTGGGTTTTTACCATAGTGGCACATTTTTATAGTAGTAAAAGTAATCTTTTAGACATAAAGTGAGAGTAAAGTGATTATTATGGTGCCATTGTGATTCTATAGAAAGCCAGCTGTGTTATGTGTGTAGTTACTGTTTACTAAGCTGGAATGAAGATGGCCATCAGCTTATTCATTTCTGCAGTTCTGAGCCCTGCGAGTAAAACGGAACTTTTCTTAAATAAAGTTCAGTGTAATGCCTGCAGGACACATAATGAGAATCCAGTAGAGATATGGGTAGATTTCAGGGAGAGGGAGGACCCAAAAGACATGTTCCTTTGTAGCCTTGGAGGGAAATAGGACAGTGGAGTTCTCCAGAAGTCAGAATCTGACAGCAGTTGAAATGTATGAAATGTAAGGAGATGACATGAGCAAGAAAAGCAAGAATCTACATTCTGCCACACCTTGTAGGACATCCCAGCATGTGATGCCTCTGGTGTGGCAGACTTGCTGGGTGCTGCCTTCATGGCTATCTCTGACGAGTAGTTTAAGTACTTTGTCCTGTTGCCTGGTACATTTTTCAAGACCTTTTCTATTGAAAATATTTTGATAGTTTTTCCCTTTGGTCTTTAAATCGTGTGTGAATTTACTGCGTGTTGATAATGACATGATGTGTATGTGTTTTATTTCCCAAGAACAGTATGAACGTAGATGATAGAGTATGAAACATGACATCAATTTTCAGTACATTGACTTGCATCAATCTTTTTGTGTTGAATCAGCAAAAGATGAGTCATTGGAAGAGATTCATGAAGTGCAGTATTGCCACTGATTTTTTTTTTTTTATGGCCCACCGTGGAAAGGAAACTAGAACAATGCCTTAAACATTTTATTTTGTGGAAACAAGCGGATGCTCTTTTTTTAAACATAGTTTTGGAGTGAGGGGTAGTGTAGGGGGTCAGTACTCAGCAGCTGAAGCTACGTACTGAAGATCTGGAGTTACCGGACTTTCTCATTTTAGTGAAATGCTCATACAAAGAATTGGTCATCCCACACCAGGTGGGAATTAACAGCAGTGCCTAACACACATTCTTAACATTTTGCTGGGTTCAGCAAATGGTTTCAAACTTCCATAGTCCATTCAGCCTTTACCTTTCTCCTAATGCCATCCGCACAGGTAGCAATTACAGTGGTGGTTCTGTGATGTAGATACCCGTTTCAGAGCTCCAGGAGAGTGAATGTGAATAACGTTTCATTTCTTTGCTAACTGGTGCATCCACTGTAATATAGTCATATATTTCATTGCTGGATTCAGATGATGTTGGTGTATTTACGAGTGACTAGCTCCACATTCCTTCACTACCATCATGACCTATTCCAATTCTAGCTGTTGTGTCTAACCGGATTTCACTGTCCTCTGCTCTTTAGATAAAGTATTTTGGTTTAAAAAGAGTTATCAAACATACAAGTCTAACCTCTGCTCCACTTGCATCCACGGATTGGATTTCTTCGAGTGACTGGCTTTGCCAAGGCCACATTGCAGGAACTATTTTGCCAGAGTTTCTGTAAAATACTGATTGCACTGGGGGAAGGCAGCAAAATCAAGGCATAGGGAACAGAGGAAAAGTTCTGGTGTAACCCTTGCTATAATACGTTTTTCTCTTTAACTCCAGGCGTCCATTTCCACCAGGCGATCGCGTGACCTTTAATGGAAGGGACTGTCTCTGTCAGATGTGTGCACAGCCCATGTCCCCCAGTCCAAAGGAGTTGTCTGCCTCAAGCAGTAAGTATGCCATCTTCTCGCTGAAGCCTTTCACTTTCCCAGGCTGATCAACGTTTGGTTGAAGCTAACTTAATGCAATCTTGTGGTTTTTGTTTTTTTTTTTTGGGGGGGGGGGGGGGGGGGGGGAGGGGTGTTGTTTCATTATTATTACTATTTTTCTTCACCTTTAGAAACAAGAACCACCTCTGGGAACCATCTTTTTTTCTTTCCTTTTTTTCTTCCTACATGAAGTGTGTCTGGTTGGTACCACAGGTAGGAAGAGACACACATTTCAATATGAACAAGTGAAAAGGGCTGCTTTTTATAGGCCCTGGAAAAGTACTTGATGAAACCTGAGGTTTCAGAGTTGATACATTCCATTTTTTTTCATGTATAATTGGACAGGTTTAATTATTCAAAAGAGGACAAAGAGTAAATTAATTTTCTTCTACTATTTCACACTTTAATTAAATTAGCCTTTAAAAGGAGCATCACCAGGAATATGCCTCTAATGATACTGTGATCAGAACCTCAAGAAACCACTATAAAAAAGAGAGGAAGCAAGTTAAGGGGAGAGAGAATCAAGACAGTTTGACAGGGAAATTAATTTGATTTGCTGTTGAGTTTTAATGCTCTTTAAAGATGTTTTGGTAATTACTGATATTAATCTCTGCCTCTGGTAGTTAATTTTTTAAATCTTTGGGGATTTCTGTTTCTTTTTCTGTCTCCTGGATTGTACTCCGCTCTCTAATCTATCATGATTTACCCAGTATAGTTTTATAATTCAAAATCGCAACAGATTTCCTTGTGATACTGGGTACCTTTCCACCAGTGCTGGTTTTTTTCAGGGAGACACTGTGTATTTTACACTGGCACTTGGCTTTGAGATCCTAGGATTATAAAGTGCAATATAACGGCAGCGTTTGGATAATGTCTGTGCTCAGTAGATGAGTCAGGTGAATCTCAGGTTATTGGATTTGCCTGACAACACGTAATCAGACACTTAGCAAAATGGAAAATGAGACACGTTTTTTGTTACTGTGCCTTTCTGTCTGTTAAGTGATACTTTTCCACAGTAACTGTGGATTTGGAACTGAAAATGCGCAGGCCTAATTGGTTACGGCAGAGTTTAGGAACCTGAAAAAAGCCTTACAAGACTTGCAAACCAACACAGACATGTATGAGGTACTTCAGGCACCCAGAGAATCCTTCTGACACCAAGGAAATTGTATTTGAATTGCTGGTATTTAGGAGGCGTAATCAGCAAGGAACTGCAAGGCACCGGGACCTTAGACAGTACTGACGTTCTTTTTCTAAGCATGGCACAGCACTGGTTCCCAAGCAGCTCGTGTTCAGTGACAGGAGATGGGGATCACACTGCATCTGGTTCTCAAAAACTGGCGCGCTCATCCAGCAGCGTGGCCGCTTCCCAGGTACATGACTCCAGGTGCCAGAATGCCCTCCCGTAAGTGGTAGGCTGATGGTGAGCAAAATTGCTGGAGGGTCACTTCCTGACAGTCATAGTCCCTGGTTGAATTACTTCTTGGGTTCCACACTGAAGCCATAGGTAGCAAGGATTATAAATCAGTCTTCCTTGCTACTTGTGGTGACAGGGGTACCACGCTGGCTGGCATTTCTTCTTGGATGTGCAAGAGATGCTGTGGGAAGCACAGCTGAGGGCGGAGCAGCCGCAGGGAGGTTCCCGGTACTTGGGGTAGGCACATGAGGTGGTGCCAGCAGTCTGCGCTAGTGGAGCTTGACCAGCAGGCTTCTGGCGCAGGTATCGTCTTGAAATTCTGCAGACTACAGCTCTTTGAACCCGCTTTAATACATTTCCCTTTTCCTCAAGCAGAGCTTTTTCCCTTAAGCATTCCACTCCACTATAAAGCACTTCAGTAATAAGAATGTTATTTCTCTACCTGAGATCGAGCCCTTTCTCCTGTAGGTTCCTGTTCTGGATGCTGGTAAGGAAGCTTTAGTTATCTCTGGGTACCTTTTTGCTGAAAGGTTGGATCGTTTTAGTGATGTGCATGACCTAATTAAGAAATTGCATTTCAAAGGAAAAGTGGGCTTTCTGGATGGATGAGAAAAACTCCTTATCCAAAAGAAACGGCTGCATTACAATCACCTAGCAGGAGTTTTCATTTGAAAAATTCATCTTCTCTTAAAACGATGATGTTCAGTTTCCTATTCTTTGGAAAGAAGGAGGGGGAAGACATGTCAACTCCCCTTTCTTTGTAACAGTCTCCCCTGTGAGTTAAGAGTGTTACAGCAGAGCCAAGACGTGGACCAGAGTTTTCAAAATGGGCAGTGTTAGATGTGTATAAACAATCTTGGGTGCAGCTGTTCTGTTCCCCGACCAGCCGGCGTTCACGTGGAGTTTTCACAATGCTGTTTTGTATGTCTGACCTTGTCTGGTTTGCACATTATGTTCTGGTTCAAAGAATGAAAGTTCTCTGGGACAAATGCTTCCATGCCTTTCCGTACGGAGTCTAACAGAGTTGGCTCCTGGCTCACAACTGGGGATCTTGGCTCTGTTGTGGTATAAATAATCAGCTTAATGAACTTACGGGAGAAAGATATCTGTGTTAATTATTCAATAGCCTTATCTCTTCAAATAAGATGCAGTAAAGCTCCCAGTAAATACCCAGAACTTCCAGCAGAGTTTCTGGTAATGCTGAAGCGGAGCAGAGCCAACAAACCTTGCCTGTTGTAGAAAATGTGGGCAGGAAAAATGGGAGTCATCTGTTGCCTCACTATTCAGAAAGTGGAGGGAAAATGAGGTTGTTTTTGAAACAACAAATGGAGAAGCAGCAAATCTGCTTTGCAGTCTTCCTTGAAAGACTCTCTAATTTGTAATGCAGTTTTATATTTGGGACATAACTGTCCTTTCATTAGGCTGAGATAGACAGGTGGTTGCTGACAGTATTCAGCAATAATGTCTGAGCTGATTTATAAGCATCACAGACTTCTCTGTTAGAAGTGAGCTGAGTGAATAAAATGGATGCAAAATTCCTTTTCATCATAGTTCTCGTGGAAAGTCTGCAGCTAAGATGTGTAACTGTTCAGCCACGTTTGACTTGGTTATGTTGTTCCTTAGCTGCCTCTCTGAGCTGTCTGAAAACTCCTTCAAGTCCATAGGGAAGACTTGCAAAATGAAGGGGAGGAGTTGGCTGGCTATTTGTCAGCAAGCTATCGGCAGTGATTTTTGGCTTTAAAGGGTATTAAGCAACATCCAACACATGATTCTGAGCTCATTCTTAGGAAATATCCTACAATTTCACACTCTGTGTTAAAGCTACATGGTGTATATATAGTTATTGTACAAATCCTTGGCACAGATGTGGATAGGCCTTAGCATAGGACACTGAGCCCAGTTTTGCCTCACGGGATGCACACAATATCCATAAACAGTGAATGCACTGGAGAACTTAGGCTCAACAATTTTGTTTGGAATATGCATTTTTAAAATACAATCTTAAAAATCCTGTGTTTACATTTAAACCTTCAGGTTTTAATATTTTTTGTGTGCCACAACACAGATTTTCTTGTGTCGTAATTCCTGGTTTATCTGCTAAGGATGCAGAAACACGTATTTCTCTGGCATTCAAGGCTGCATATCTATGTTTAGGTCCTGGAGATTGAGGTGAGGTTCTGGGGGCCTTGACAGAAGGGGCTCACGTATATCTCTTGGTTGACTGACCATAGAGACAAGACATACCACAGACGATTGTAGGTTGATTTCAAACACTGTCATTTAAATCACTGGTTTTAATCATGTTGTACCTAAGAACCCAGGAAACCTTGATTGGAATAATTGACCTTGTTTTAAATTGAGATTTTTAATTAGAAAAGGCTAATTGATAAGCTTGAGGATACTCCTTATCTGTACACATTTGCTTAAACTAATACAGCTCTGCATAAATTATAATATTCTTAGACATCTATATTTCTTCCCTGAATTAGTATTTTTGTTCATGATTTATGATGTCAACCTCTATTTGAATGGAAATTGAAATTCAATTAGAATGCCTGAAATAGCATTCTGGATTTTTTTTAGATTTCAGAAACTACCTGTAATCTGCTAGACACTTGAAGAAAGTAAATGCATTAAAATTTATTTTTATTCTGGAACTGCTGATCTGTCAAGGATCTGTACCTTATAAAACTATTTACTTTGGATCGCCATGCCCGTAAAGTTTTTAAAGTTTTTTAAAATTTTTAAAGTGGCAGATCTTGTCGTACCTGAATTTATTCATGGATAGGAAGTGGAAAGCAAGTTTTGTCTCTGTGTTTTCAGATCCTATTTGGTTTTTTAACTTTGATTTAATTTAAAATAAAATTTTAAATTCTGATTTTTAAATTGAACTTTGGTTTTTAAATATCAGTATTTAATTCTTCTTAATTTAATCTAATTTGATTGTAGTAGAGTTGCAAGGGCAACTACATTTATGACTTAATATATTGAGCATACAGTGGGTCTAAAATTTTACCCTGCCCCCTTTTTAAGAATAAAATAAGCAAATCAACATGCATGAAATGATAGAAAATTCAGAGAACTTATGCAAACCCAAGCACAGTTCCTTGCTGGGAAAAGCCATTTGATTACACTTAAGAATACACAGCTTTTCCCTTGATAAATCCTTCCAATGACACTGTCCCATTTTTTGTGATTGGTCCAAGAAGATTTAGTCTTTTGAAGAATGTTTGGAATTTTTGAGGCATTTCCATCATTCAAATTGTTTTCTTGAATTAGTTTTAGTCCTCGCTTATGTTTCATAACAGTAGCTATTACTGGAGTAGCCTCCGTTTACTCAGCTATTTCTTACTTCACAAGGACAGGTGTTTTCCTTGCTGCTTTATAACCACCTTGGATCCCTCTCTGGAAGCATATGAAGCATTGTTACAGACTAACGTTTAGGGGACAGAGACAGAGCAGCAACTGTATTGAGAATCAACTTGCGGCAGAAAGTTTCTGATTTATGTGTTTTCTATAAGAAAATGTTCCTTTGCCAAAATCA